GGTTTTTAGTAATTATAACTTGTTTACGAATAAATTTATAGGATGTGTGCATGAATACATGAGAATCTTGGACTCGTAGCCCAGTTTTACACGCCCTAACGACTTTACATATTCCTTTTAAGATCAAATATTCAAAATGTTTTTTTAGTAAGGAAAGGAATCAGGTACCGCAATAGAATGATCATATTATATCATTATATTACTATAATATAAATATGGGAGTTTCTAATATGTGCGCAATTAATCACAATTATTATCATAATTAAATGTTAAACACATTAATTATAAGAAATATTATCATAATTAAATATAAAATTCATTAATAATCTTTATAATTAATACATTTCACACTTAATTATGGTAATAATTATGATTAATTAATACTTCTTATATGTGCCCTTAGGGCACATATTAGAAAATCCCTATAAATATACTACAAAAAAAATCATATTATATGATCATATCATACAATAAAAAATCATACATATCGTACTATATTATAAATATACCATAATAAAAAATCGTATTATATCATCATATCATATTATACTTTAAATAATTATATAATATATCATATTATACTATATACAATTATACTCTTTTTCATTATATTTATTTGAAACTTTCTAACCCTTTCAACTTTCCGTCTTATCTATTAAATTTATTAAATTAAGTATGTTATTAAATACATAAATACTATCATATTAGTTCTAAACATTTTAAATTATCAAGATAATATATTTAATTTGTTAATTTGAAGATAACATTAATTTCAAAACCTAAATTAAAATATCAAATAATATTAAAAACGATCAAAGTCAATTTTTTTTAAATAGCTAAAAAGATGTTTAAATATTTAAATATAATTCCAAATCGACATTTATTTGGAATTCCATAACTTTATCGATAAGTGTTAATGTTTTAGATAACCATGATTAAAATTTCAAAAAATATCCAATAACTAATTTTTAAATTGATTACTCATAAGAATAGTTAAAAATAACACAAAATGAATATTTATATTTAATTTTATCAACATGCATGTCATGGGTAGAGGTTACTGATCCATCAATTTAGTATAACAATTATTATTTCATAGTTAATGTCATTAATATAATCATTTTCAATATAATATATTTGTCAAAAGTTTTATTACATACTTTAAGTTGTCCTACGCAATGTTTGCCTAGTTAAGAAATAAGGAAAAAAAAAAATAGGTTAAGGACACATGAAATAGTGTAAACTTTTGCACAGCCAAAATTAAAAAATATTATATTTTTTACACGAGAAATAATATAATAGACATTTTTTTTAAATAAAATTTTAAGGTAAGGATTTATCATTAAATTCATCTAAAATTTTCAAAACCTTCCATTTTGATAGGGTATTGCATGATAATGTTTTTTTTATATACGATTTATCATTAAATATTTTGTACACGACTTACGATTGTATCGGTCAACTTCTCCGATCTGCACCATCTACTCTCATCACCACCATCCACCTCCCGCCAATACTATCCATCTCCTGCAACAAACACATATTTTATCAACATTATAACCACCCATCTCCACCATTCACCGCCATCACCAAGAAGTTAATATAAAATCTAGAGATAATGACTTAGGAGGGTAATAACGTTTTCTGTTTGTCCATTTTAGGTCCATAACGTATTTTTTGTCCGTATTACACCATTAAGGTTATTATAATCGTTTACAAATAGTCCTTTTAACAGGAAGAAGCCGGTAAAAGGATTATTTATAAATGGTTATAATAACCTTAATGGTGTAATATACACAAAAAAATACGTTGGGAACCTAATATGGACAAACGGAAAACGTTATTACCCTCCTAGGTCATTATCCCATGAAACTATAAACACCTATAATAAATTTTTACTTTTTAAATAAGAAACTTATAGGTCTTGGGGTTGGTAGTTTGGATGTTTTTAACCGCGGCCTTCTTTATAAATGGAAATGACAATTTCTTAATGACAATAGAGCTCTTCGGATTAAAATTGTCAAATTTTGTCATGGGAAAGGTAGTGGTTTTTCGGACGATTCGAGAATAGGAATTGGAGGGGGTGTTTGGCAAAAGATTGTAGGATCCATTAATCACCTCCATGAGAATGGTTGTATTCATTCTAATTACATGTATAGAGTGGTGGGGGATGAGACTCAAACAAGGTTTTAGAAGGATGTTTGGTGCTTGGATATTCCTCTTAAGGAGCAGTTCGGGAGGCTCTTTGCTTTGGCCTTTAATCAAGATGTTCGAGTAGGTGAATAATGGGATCCGGGGGATGTAATTTTCATTGGCGTCGGGGGATTAGAGGAGGGGCTGAATCGACCCAATTTGATTATCTTGTAGAAGGATGTTTGGTGCTTGAATATTCCTCTTAGGGAGCGGTTCGGGAGGCTCTTTGCTTTAGCCTTTAATCAAGATGCTCGAGTAAGTGAATAATGGGATCCGGAGGGATGTAATTTTCATTGGCCCCTCCTCTAATCCCCCAACACCAATGAAAATTACATCCATCGGGATCCCATTATTGACTTACTCGAGCATCTTGATTAAAGGCTAAAGCAAAGAGCCTCCCGAACCGTTCCCTAAGAGGAATATCCAAGCACCAAACATCCTTCTAGAACCTCGTTTAAGTCTCACCCCCACCACTCTATACATGTAATTAGAAGGAATACAATCATTCTCATGGAGGTGATTAATGGATCCTACAATCTTTTGCCAAACACCCCCTCCAATTCCTATTCTCGAATCTTCAGAAAAACCACCACCTTCCCCATGACAAAATTTGACAATTTTAACCCGAAGAGCTCTCTTGTCATTAAGAAACCACCACTTCCATTTATAAAGAAGGCCGAGGTTAAAAACATCCAAAATACCAACCTCAAGACCTACAAGTTTCTTATTTAAAAAGTAAAAATTTACTATAGGGGTTTATAGTTTCATGGGATAATGACTTAGGAGGGTAATAACGTTTCCCGTTTGTCCATATTAGGTTCCCAACGTATTTTTTTGTGTATATTACACCATTAAGGTTATTATAACCGTTTATAAATAATCCTTTTACCGGCTTCTTCCTGTTAAAAGGACTATTTGTAAACGATTATAATAACCTTAATGGTGTAATACGCACAAAAAATACGTTAGGGACCTAAAATGGACAAACAGGAAACGTTATTACCCTCTTAAGTCATTATCCCTAAAATCTATGAATGGAGGTGGTTTACTTGTGTCGTGTGATTCACGAAGAAAGATAAAAGAGAGTGAGACAGATAGGAATGTGGGGATAGGGTGGGTTTTGCAAAATATAAGGAAAAGGAGATGAGCATGGAAAGGTCTAAGCAATGGCAGGATGCTAACGATAGTAAATTGAGGAGGTGAGAACATTTTTATTTAAGAAAAAAAAATGAGATGATTGTTCGCATTGCAACATTTTTTAAAAATAAACCTGCAAAATGATCTCATCTTTTTTTATTGGAGTTGTGTTAGGTGGAGAAGATGATCAAATGATAATGACCGGAAAAATAAAGGTGACTAAATTTACATACAAAATAGTTTAATGGTAAATTGTGTAAAAAAATATGAGTCCATTGATGTTTTTAAACATCAATGTGAGTTTAATAATGTTTTTTGAACATATAAACCGGATACATATTGCACTACAATAAATAAGAGTATTATCGGCCACATGCGTCGCCGCTAAAGGTCCAACATGTTGTCGCTAAAGGTATTAGTGGCGACAAGTCGTCGCTAAAGGTATTAGTGGCGATATGTCGACACTAAAGGGTCGTCGTTGTTGGCTTGTCGCTGATGCTCCATTCGTCGCTGCTAATGCTCTCTGTTGCCACTAAAGGCGTCGCTGCTATTAATATGTATTTCTATTCATACAAATACACATATACATACATAATACACATACAAAATTCGCATATACATACGAAAATACATACACATACATAATACACATATATATATATACGAAAATACATACACATACTTAATACACATACATATACATAAAAATACATATATACATAGGATTGTACATACAAAAACACATATGCATACATAAAATACATTCAAAACACACATATACATACAAATACACATTCATATCTACAAACACAAAATACACATATAAATACACATCAATGCTAGAAATTTAGTAAGGAGAAGTGAAAAGGAAAAGGAAAAGGAGAAAAATAGAGCAAAGGTAGGTGAAATTGCGAAGTTCTTTGTGAAATTCCAATGAGGTCGGCAACAATGATGAGCAAGAAGGGAGAACACAGAAAAATAGAGCAGAGAGAGGTTTTATTGTCGACGGCCTTTAGCGGCGACGCGTACTCATTGGCGGCGACACATGGGAGGGAAAACAACAAGGAGTTTTCTATGTCGTAGGATCATCTCTTAAATCGACGGATGAGATTAAAATGACGCGGATCGCCAAAACAAGCCTTTAGCGGCGACACACCGGAGGGAAAACAACGCGGGATTTCTTAAGTCATCCTAGTCGTAGGATCATCTCTTAAATCGACGGATGAGATTGAAATGACGCGGATCGCCAAAATAAGCCTTTAGCAGCGACGTCTTTAGCGGCGACAAAAACGCGTTTGTTTTTATCGCCGTTAAAAGTCTCCGCCGCCGCTATTACCAGTTATTCTTGTAGCGCTGGTTGTTCATTTTTAATCTACTTACCTACTGTATCATGTTACAAATTAATTTCAACTTAGGTACACAACTTTCTCCTAAATTACTATTAGTTTCTCAAATAAAACTAACTTATCATTATCGATAGTAATTTAGATACTCGAGAAATAGTTAAACATACAGTTTACATACCAATACAAAAGATTGGGACATTAGAGACGGCACAACCATGTTTATGAACGGCTCAAACGGAGTTTTACACAATGCTAATACAACATGTGATAACTTACCTAATTGATCATTGCCATTATTATGCAACAATTGATGATAATGTTTAGGTTGGCATGGTTTTTCGATATTTAATTAATGATTAAGCAATCGGTACCGTGTTACAATTCTAATAGGACAGAAAAAGATATATCATATGTGATCGATATTCGAAAGAATTTATACATACATGTGAATTTATACATGAGTTGATCTAATACCAATAAAATACGGTATGAGGGGTGTCTCAGTCAAACATGAGACATACAATATCTTTAACATAGCCTAGGTTCTATACCAAATGAAATTCTTGTCGAACAATTTGTAGTTCCTCCAATGAAAAATGTATGGATTCGTGCTCTCAGTCAGCGCCACTGATTCAACCGGCTACCTGGATTTACTTAATCTCTCTCACATGTAACACAATATTAATTATATTGTTACAATGGTCAAAGTGACATTTGATCTAATAACAAAACTATACCCATTGCTAAACCGGAATCAAACCCTCGATTTACAACCAACACGAAAACTTCTAGCCCAAAAGAAACACCTTTTGTGGTAGTTTCTTTCCTTCTAATCTCAGCCAATACATTTCTTGATTCATCAAGAACTTTGCATGATCTGTTCACGTATGATCCCTCAATCACATACCCTCCTGCTTTCTCATCATATGGTGTTCGATAAACTTGAGCTAATATCTTTACCTTCGGACGTAGAATATCAACATGTTTTCTTGCACAACATATTGGTTTTTGTTTCTTCGATAATATTTCACCTTCGAACACCTATAATTTATACACTATCTTTAGTTTCTGGTAATGCATATTCCAAAGCATAAGAAATATGTCGACAAGGTAAGGTATATAAAATATATTTCGTATATAGTTTATGAGCGAACTTAAAGGAAAAATAAATGTGGGATCCAAAGAATTGAATGAATTTTTTCAAAGAAAATGTCGTACTTCAATTATAACAAGTAAAAATAGAGTAACTTTATCTGTAAAAGTAACAGTACCTTGCTACGGGAAACAGTGAACATGGGTTTCCCGGAAGCATCCATGAGAACGACTTCTTGTTGCCGGCGGCAGCCGTAATTATCAACTCTATATACCAAGTCACCGTCGGAGTTTATTACCGTGAACCCACTACAGCCTATGAACAATGACTTCCTCCACACCGTTAAACTCGTCGGCCCACAACCACCATCATCACCACCACCGTGGCTTCCATCATCACCACCGCCATTCGATGGTTCTGGATCTTGATATCGCTCTTCATGCACTGTCCTCGACAAAGATTTTAAGAATCGTAGCATGTTTTAATTTCTCTCTGTCTCAAGATCTTTCTCTTATTCTCTAGCAAGATTTCTGTTTCTCTCTCTCTCTCTCTCTCTCTCTCCAAAGACTGGGAAGATGAAGAAGAGCAATTGGGGAGATATTTATGATGATGATGGATGAGATTTTGAGGGGCTTTATTGTAATTTTGTGTTCTCCGCGGGGTTGCTGCCATATGATAGTACTACACGACCACACATGTCACATGATTTACCAATTTGACCAACATTTCATACATACAAATACACTTTATACTGTTACATGGCCAATATATTCCACCATTCTTTATGTGTGCAATTTTATTGAAGTAACTAAAACATATGATGCATGTGTTATATATATATATATATATATATATATATATATATATATATATATATATATATATATATATATATATATATATATATATATATATATATATTTGTATTTATATATCTATTATATATAATATGAGCTTATATTTTTATTTGTTTGTGACAAATATTTGTTCTTTCATATTATTAAATTTAATTTTTTTGGTTAATATAATGGATTAAGCACCGGGGGCACCCAACCAAATTGCATGAATCTAGTCTCGAAAATAGAAGGTGGTCCTGGAATAATGGAACATGTTATTAAAATTTTGAGCTAATTTTCAGTTAAACATTCAATAAAAACCGAGGAAATTGTATCTAGTATGTTTAGAAAGTTACCTTGAATTATAGAGATAGTTATTGTGCCCGTTTTACTAACAAAACAATGTGCATTGTACTGGTTTTAAAATTTAGAGTTTTTACATATCCACATAGTAGAAAATTGAAAAGTAATTAAGAAAATAGAAAATATACATCTGTCAATATTACCATACGATTCTATTATGCATTACGTGCGGGTAAAAATTTATTTTGGAAACTGTGGTCAAAATAACAAATACCCAAAAGTTTGATTATTTTAATATATTTCTTAATTAAAATCATACTTTTATTTTTGTGATTAATAATATAGATCTTTTTATGGTGTAGTTTCTTTCTATCCATACATCCATGATCTATTTGGATTCTGTTAATCCTCTCATATGATGGATTTTGTTAACACATAAAACGTGTCAAACATAAAGGTAGGGGTCTGTTGAGTCTCCATCGATCGCTAATGCGCATTGGGGTCAATAATTACTCTTTTACTGGTTAGTGTCTTATCATGTTTCTTAATAATCTAGAAACTTCTATTACATGTTATTGTTCTTACTATGAAAAAACGATTAGGCTCAAGAAAATGGATAGTGGTTTGGCCTCACTCAGTGCCACACATAGACAAGGGAACACCTCCCTCTGTATAGTCTTGGGTACAGTTTGGCGGTACCTCTCTCTCTCTCTCTCAACCTTAGGTATGGTAAAAAACCACATTTTGTGTGATATAAATGATATGACACTTATATGATATGTTAGAGAGAATACGATTTTTGTGGCACCACTTCCTTCAACTTATATTTTATTAAGTTTATTTACGTAAATAAAGTTTGCACGTCTTAAATTTTTTGGGTTTCTACTTGGTTAGCAAGTATATAATGATGCACTACTAATGACATAAAACTTTAAGTTAATTATTTATGTATTTTCAAATTAGACTTATCTTTGTGTATAACTAATTACCAAGAGATGATTAGTACAAAATATCTTTTTTCATGAACAAAAATATATATTTCAAAATATTATACCATACAGCCATATAAAATATAAATTTTTGTATATAAAAAAAATAAATTCTTTAACAAAACTATACTAAAAGAATATTAAAAAAGATAGAGTAAATTACACGAATGGTCCCTATGGTTTAGGGTAATTTGCGCGTTTGGTCCCTAACTTATTTTTTTAACTCGGAAGGTCCTTACTGTTTGTTTTTGTTACGCGGTTGGTCCCTATCTTACCTAAAAAGACTATTATGCCCTTGATTTTTTTAATTTATCTAAATAAACACACCCCTAATCCCACCCTTCACCTTACCTCACCTACCCCATCATTTTTTCCTGTTTAAATAATAATCTTTTTAGATAAGATAGGGACCAAACGCGTAATAAAAATAAACAGTAGAGACCAAACACGTAACAAAAACAAACCATAGGAACCTTCCGAGTTAAAAAATTAAATTAGGGACCAAGCACGCAAATTACCCCAAACCATAGGGACCATTCGTGGAATTTATTCAAAAAGATACAACAATACCTACCTGTTATTTCCGTTGCCAACTTTTTCTAGAAAAGCCTTTTTAATAGTTAATTCATATATTTGTTTTCTAGTGTTAGCATGTGTGTTTCTAAACACAATGAGATATGTGTCATATCCAAGCATCTGCTCTTTTGATTCCATTTTCCTTTTAATAATTTCAATATAGTTCTGATCGGTGACGTGGTGTTGGTGTTATGATTGTTGGTTTCCTAAGGATCAATTGCTAAGATAATGCATATGGATTGTGTTTTCTTATACCTTTTTTAATTTAATTTAATTTAATTTAATTTTATTTTTTATGTGAAAGTTAAGATTTTTTTATATATAACTAGCGGAAAACCCCGGACTTTATCCGGGACCGTTTTTTGTATTTTTTATGAAAAAATGTAAAAAATTTCATTGTAAGGATCAAAAGTGTCAATAGAAATAACGCGTTGAGTTCCCTCCAGATGGTCTCCGCTAATAGGGTTAGGGTCGCCGCTATTAACGTCCCTACTGTGATGGGCCATGGAGGCGACAGTGGTGACGAGCCACCACATCCGTTCGGTGGTGGTTTTGGTGATCACCAGAACGATGATAATTAAGATTTATTCTAATTCATTGTATTTCATATTGTATGTATATAAAAAATTATTTTGACTAATATTTTTTTACGCAGTGGTGCCTCGGAGACGAAGAGGCATGGCGGTAAATAAAAAAGTGCACAACTATTTAAAGCTAACGGTGAACGGTCTCTGAAAATAGTATTCGACATAAATACTAACATGCCGATTAGGGAGGTGTATGAATGTTTCATTCGGGAGGTTGGGAGCTATATGTGGCGGGATATTGGTTTTGATATGGACACATGAACTGATGTTTCTGACGCCGAAAGGGTTGGCATGTTCCAATATCTTTCGGTAAATTATTTATAAAGTTATATATTTAATATTGTTTAATTTGATTTCTCTATTTCTTTTTTGTAGACATGGTTTGATTTTCGAGCGATTACAAATCATCCCATGGCTTCAACTTATTGGGCGTCACTAAACAATCAAATATGTGCGCGGTACAGAGGCCGTAAAAATAATGCAAAAAACCGATCCGCTAGAAACAATCGACAGTGTTGGAATGTTACTATTGACTATTTCTTAACAGAAAAACATCAAAAACGATCCGCTAGAAACAAAGAATGCTGGAAGAAGCAAGTGGTGAAGAATCGTGGAGGGACGTGCAGCTATTGTAGTGCTTGTTTCAAGAAACTAAGGTACAATAATGTTTATTCAATTATAACATATTTTTTAGTGTTTATTCAAATATAACATATTTTGTAATACTAAACAGAATTTGAATAGACTTGAAGTATTTCATCATACGCATGTGAATAAAAAAGGGGAATTTGTTGATCCTTTGGTTGAAGAGCAATATGTAAGTTATTATTACTTAAAATTCTCTTAGTAGATTGTTGTTTTTTTTTTGTTAGTTTTAACATATATTAATAATCTTTGTGAAATACAGAATGTCTTAGTTGTTGAGGTTGCTCTACAGACTTATCACATAGTCGACTTTGGTGGTGATCCATATACTATTGATTGGATCACAATATCTCAGAATGTGTTGGGTTCACGAAGGGGGCATGTGAAAGGCATTGAGCCTAAACCTTCTTTAGCTGCGGGTACAAGTGCTTCATCCCAATGACAGTCAAAGTCACAAGCACCGCAACCAACATAGGTACTTGTGACTTAAATTGTTAATGACTTAATTAATTTGGTGTTCTGATGGTTTGATAATTTGTTGAATTGTTAATGACTTAATATGCTTGGGACTTAGTTGTAGGATGTTGATGTGAATGTTTTTCTTCAAAACCCGGTATTTGTGACAGCCATTGGATAGATTATCCGCTCCTTTAAAAACCAAGTCAACAACGAGGAAAACAATGATGAGGAAGACGAAGACGAAGACGAAGAAAGATAATATTTCTTGTTTTATGTTATGGATGATATTCGTTTGGATTTATCAAATAATTTATGAATTATATATTAGATGTTTATGTAGGATTTATTAGATATGTAATATGGTATGTTTATGTGTTTATTTATGTATTTTTATCAAATCTGCATTTTATGATATAAACTATAATATCATAAAAAAAATATGTTTTTCCTCAAAAAAATAAAAATAAATAAACAAATAAATAAATAAAATAAATAAATAAAAACATTAGCATCGACACCTTTAGGAACGATATGGACTTATTGCGACGACACATAACTCCGCCAAGCTTTGTTAGAAAAACTGTGACCGGTGGTCGGAATATCAATAGAGATGATGGCAATAGCGATGCCACATGAGTATTAGAGACGACAATATTTACGACAACAAACGGGTATTAGCTACGAGGTAATTACGACGACACTTTAGAGACAACATGTCGTCGCTATTTATACATAATTCATGGAATAGAAGTTCTTACAAGTGGTCTGGTTGTAAATTTTAATACAAATAGACTTGTATAACTATTGAAAAGATTTCATAATGCATCAGTTTCTAACATATGTACTTTGTAAAACATGCAAGCTATTATAGACGGACTTTCATTATTCATACCCGGTTAATCGGTTTTAACCATAGCAGTTGCGGTGCAATTGAGGAATCTATTTAAAAAATAATTGGTTATTATTTATTTTGTTTTATGTGGGTTGATGATGCAGCGAATGATGTGTGAACATATGGAGGTGATATTACTATATAATAAGGAAGCACTTTGTGGTAAAACAAGTCAAAGATCTTCATTGGAAAAGGGTGGTAGATTCCAATCACCATCTTATCAATTTTTCCTATTTTTTAATCTACCCCCTAATCCCAAACATCCATGTTATTTCCTAAAATAGTAGGAACTATTTAACTAACCTTTTTTTTTTTTAAATGTAGTTTCTTTAGATTGGTTGTGCATAATAATATCGTTATAAATAGGTTGTAACTTTTTTTGAACCATACCTCAGAACAATGGTTTTTTTTATACCTTCATACCTAAAATCTCATATACAAACACGTTAACCGACTATCTCCCCATAAACTTGACTGGATGCTTATGCAAAACCATTGTAAAACGAGAGACTTAAGAAGGTGATATCAACCATAACGAACCTTGTGCAAACAACATTCATCAAGGATAGAAATATCGTCAATGGCCCGTTAATAATCAATGAAGTAACGACTTGGCTTAAGAAAAGTAAACAAAAGGCTTTTATTTTGAAATTCGATTTTGGAAAAGAGATCAAATGACGAGCTTGGATTCGGGGATGCATTACATCGGCTATTTCCTCGGTTATCATCAACGACATAAAATATGCCAAATTAGCAGTAACCTCTCAATTTTGGTTATGATAATGTTGTTTTGACCATATCAAGAAATTTAACGTAATAATAAGCAAGAAAAAAATTAAATGGTTTTTCTCGACTTTCTGTAAAAGGAATTGTTACGCTGCTAAGTATTTTTCCTATTAAAAAACATATTACTATTATCTAAAGGCACAAATACATTAATGTTATCTTAATTCCTTTTTGGATAATCTTTTTATAAAGTGAGTGAAAGAAAACTTTTACAAGTAAATGATTGATTTTTCTGTATGTAAATTTGTCTTTTTGTCTTGGTTCAGGGATACAGTGAATCAGAATGGCCACGTAGTCCTTATCAATTCTTTGATAATTAGTTTCATCATCATCACATTAAATAATTAAAGAGTAAATTATACGAATGGTCCTTTGGTTATGATAATGGTTATGGATAATATTTATTCTGATTTATTTTTTTAACTTAGATTGATATGATTTTATTGTATGTTATCCTTGCTATTTTTCAAAAAAAAAAAACATTATATTATTTATTTATTTATTTAAACAATAAAAAACAAATCCCAACCCCTAAGACCTCACATTTACCTCCATACTCCCTCTTTTTCAAAACCTATCAGAGTTAATTTATCATCTGATATCTCCTCTCATTGTGTCTTTCTCTAAACGAAAATGAAAACCGCCCTAAAGCTATTGGACGCTGCCGGACCACCAGAAACCAATGGATGTCGTCGGGGCCACGACACTACAGCTGTCGGAAACCTATGTATATCATCGTTCTAACCTCTACAACCGCATATATATACTCTAAAGTTGCAGCAAACCTTTGTACGCCACTTTAAACCATAGATCGGACGTTGCCAGCCTCCAGACCATATACACAGATCTAGACGTCGTAGACATGCACTCGAAAGTTGTCGATAAACATTGTCGACCGCCTGCTCCATCGATTTGCATCATCACCGACGAGTTGCTTCATACCGAACCTCCGTCATCACATACACAAACATGACCATAAAAACTCTTTTTTTTCCTCATTTGGATTTGTGATTTCTTTATCGTTAGGATTTATAGAATTGATTTTTGGTTCGAAAGAATTTCTAGTTTGAATGGTTTAAGTGGGGTGTTGTCTGGTAGTAAAGGTGATGACGTTTTACTCTGGTGGCAGATTTGATGATGATTTACTTCGGAAACAAAGCAACTAAATGGGTGGAAGTATTGAGGGGGGGGGGGGGGGTTAATGGGGTGGGTATGTAATGGTTACTGGTGGCGGCAACTAGGGATGAGAATTTGACCCGAAAACCGGAACCGAACCGAATTAGACCCGAATAAGCAATTCGATTCGGTTTTCGGGTATCGATATAAGGCTTATTCGGTTTTCGGGTTATTCGGTCCGAATAAGGGTTTATTCGGTCCAAAAGGACCGAACCGAATATGAAAAGTCACATTTTTTTTCCACTTGCAGGATTGCTTATTCGGTCTTGTGTTCTATCAATCGTTACCCAAAATACCTATGTAATGTTTAATGTTTAACTTATATACTTATAGATAGATTTTTTGGTGTTTTAGATGTTTAATGTTTAGTGTTTAATATGTTGCTTAATAACTATATCTTAAGAATGAGGTGGTTGGATTTTACATTTTATATATCAAGAATAGTTAATTCGTGTTATTTGTGTTTATTATAAGCTACAAAATTCATACAAAATACAATATTTATAATCACATTGTAAATGTTATTTGGGTTATTCGGGTTATTCGGCTGCTTAATCATCTTGTACATGTTATTTGGGTTATTTGGGCCGGAACCGAACCGAATCGAATAATACCCGAACCGAACCGAACACGTATTGCTTATTTGGTTCGGTTTTCGGTTCATATAATAACCCTTATTTGGTTTTTGGTTTATTCGGGTTCGAGTCGGTTCGGTTCAGTTCCGACCCGAATAACATCCCTAGCGGCAACATGGAGAGGTTGCACGACGATAGTAATGGAGAAGAGGAAATCTAGGATTAAAAAACATGGGGTTGGGGTGGGGTTTTGTATTAGTGGGGTGTGTTTTGTGTTTTTTTTATATTTCAAATATATACATAAATAATAATGAATTAATTAAACGTTTTAAAAAATAATAAGGGCAATAAAGTAATTTCAGGTGCACTAGGGACCAAAGACGCAATAAAATCAAATAGCAGGGACCATCTAAGTTAAAAAATAAGTTAGCGGCCAACATTACAGATTACCCATAACCATAGGGACCATTCATGTATATTTTCTAGAAGACATCACTGTTATGCCCATGCAACAATTTTTTAAGGATAAAATAAATAAAGCGATGATTATTGGTTCCATACATTACATATAAATAAAAATTTAGGTGTTTGTTTTTCTCTAAAATGTCTTTTTGATCTTTTATTTTTGTAGGAGGAAATATATTAGATAAAAAGATAGTTTATTTTTCAGAAGACAAAAAACATAAAAAGATATTTTTGACTTTTGTTTCAAAAGACAAAAAAACAGCTTCTAACTTGGAAATACATTTTTTAAGTTCTAATCATAACGTGATATTTTTTTTCCATCACCATCACTGCCTTCGCCACCATCGCTAACACCACTACCACCACCAATGACACTACCGCTACCACCCCCAACGACACTGTCACCGCCACCTCTGCCTTCGCCATCACCACACCAATATGATAGCACCATATCATGATGTATGAAATGTATGGTAAGGTGAGTAGGGACATAGGTTTTAAAGGGTCAGGAGGGGTTGTGTCACCTCCCCCTAATATTTTTATTAGAAGTGTAAATAGCCCATATATTTTTATGCATATTTGGCCTAATATTTAGGGGGGGGGGGTTGTTGTGGCCCCCTGTGTCCAATAGTCCGAACCAAGGGCCAATAAATCAATTATCATCCGTTCATCCCTACCCGATTACCCTTATCGATCCTTATTTCTGATTTCCTTCGCTATTCTTTAGTCTCTGATGTTGTCATGCACTCATGATGACACTACACCATTGTGACACATTATGATAACAGTTTTCACAATGTGCATGCATCGCATGCTGTGGTTAGTGCTAGATGGCACCACACCATTGTGACACATTGTGATAACGATGTTACAATGTGCATGCACCACATGGTGCGGTTAGTGTTAGATGGCATCGCACCATTGTGATAGCACCATACCGTGATGTATGAAATGTGTGGTAAGGTGAGTAGGGGCGTAGTTTTTAAAGGGTCAAGAGGGGTTGTGCCCCCTGTTAGGTGCATTTCATGCATCCATTTTGTAGTTTTAATCAATAAAAGTGTATTGCATTTAGGCTTAAACTCATGCATT